AGCCAAAGTTGCCTAACTCGGAGATGTCAAACGGCCCGCTGAGGGGGGGAAGAGCTGGGAACATGGAGATTTTCTTTTTTAGGCCCGGGCAGTTGGTTGGTTGAAGAATGAGGATCCCTGAAGATTGCGTCCGTGGAAAACACTCCTTTTCTATCCCCTTGTTCATGTTGTGGGACCCCGGACTTCTTTCGGCCATATGAAAGCCCCTAATTACGTTACAGCCAGCTTCATTCGGTACACGTGTAGATGGGCGCGGGGAGTCGCATTTGGTGTCCGCTCAATCTCTGGAAAGGGAATGGAAATCATGAGTGATGGAACCCCTGGGCAGACCGGAGTTTCGGACAACGTACCGAGTGAGTTGAGCCGAAAAATTGTGCTCCCTCGGCCTGCGGGGCCGGGTATCCACTCCGGACACCGCCGCACCCGGCGCCGGCCGCCTGCCCAATTCCATTGAACACCGTGCTTACCATTCCGGTGGCGCCACAGACCAGTCCATGCTTCGAAGTATCGCTGATTGAAAAAGGAAGGCTGTCGAAAGGCGGAAGTGGATTTTTGTCAACTTGTGAAGGGTTTTCTGGTCAGATGATGTTATTCTATTTTTTGTATAAGCCTCTAGCTCCCCCTTTCCAGTCCAACAGGTCGTGCGACCACCTCGCTGGATGCTTCACTCCGCAAACATTGATAGGGATTCTTTGAGCCGGAATATTGTTGACGATGATGATTAAAGTACGTTCGCGGCTTTAACAGTACTTGGTGTCACCGGGAGGAGCGCACTTGCAGGCTGGTCCATCAGCTGCCTGCCAAGGAACGCAGCACTATGAAGTCAATGATTAGCATCAATCCACAGCCTTTTTCAGGTGTTAGAGATGAACATACCCAGCTGCCGGCACATTCGCCAGCGCCGCCGCAGTTGGCCTTCCAGCAGTTGATTTGCCTATCGAAGATGGCAGAGACCGTCTCGCCGACCGGGTTCGCCAAGGCGAGGGGAACCGATACGAAAAGGATGATGTTTGCGAGAGTGATGGGCTGCATGTTGGGCGAAGTGTTGTCAGAGAGTAAAGCTTTATGGTGAACTGAGGCTGGTGATGGTGATGCGATGACGAGAGGACAAAAGGTAAAGTTGTAGAAGGCACTGTCGATATCTTTATACTCGTAGCACGGAATACAAACTCCTCGATTGAGTCAAGATGCTAGATAACGTGCAGGGGTCGTATATATTGGCATGACTGCGTTCGTCAGAAACCTGGTGATGTCTTTTGGCTTTAACCATTGTTGGAACCACTCGAAATCTGTTCCTGAATACTACAAGCCCCAGTACTTCGTTCTAAGAAGCTTTCTAGGCCACCGAGAATTCCGCATTTTAGAGAGAGTCATGGCTTGGCGGATTATGAGTTGCGAGTGTAGGATTCTGGCCTCTAGTGAAAATGCATGTTGTGAGAACTTGCGATCAAAGAATTCCGCCAAGTCCGTCGCTTCGGGGAGGCCCTGACTGGCAATGACAACAATCTATGGGTATCCTGTCATCGATGCTAAGCATACCCAAAAGGGTAGCCTGGCCTGGGGTTCAAGCACCAAGCACTAATAGCTGAGGCATGTAGGTGATGAAGTGATGGTCTCAAGCGTTTTCTACCTAATTAGTAGGTAGCGAGCTTTTTGCTACTTACGGAGACTGACAACCCCCTAGGCTGTATCTATCTAGGGCCTCCGGCTTTCTGAGCGCAAACCTCGGACCTAATAGTCTTCGAGGCCTAAAGAGAAGGAAAGACTGTGGTGACACAAGCTATGACTCGCGAAATTTCTATATCTAGTCAGGCTTCCTGGGTCTTACTGCCACGGCGGAATCCACATCCTTAACCGGCTAGTATTACCGCTCAACAAAGCACAGATCTATGTTGTGCTGCGAGTTTAATCCGCCAAGGGAGCCGCGTTTAATTATCCTCTCTGGACTAATGTACGCGGGGTTCATGAAGGATTCGGCCACCGAGGGCTATTATATCTGCCACAACATTTCTCTTGTAACGATAGTAGGTTTGACAGGTTTTGAGAAGACGCTTGAATATTGCTCTTCCCTTCTGTTGTTGCGCAGCAGGACCATATTTGAACCTCGTTTCCCCTGTACCCATCGATACCACCCTATCTTCTGAGATAGGTACTTTCCTTCTTCCAATTTGGCATCTCTTTCACCTTGTTTAGCTGTTCTCACTGACTAGACAGTCATCCTACTTTGCTGAAGCAGGGTGATCTTTTGCGTCCCGTTGCGATCGACTACCTTGCGGAGAGGAATCGCTACTCCAGGAGAATGTCAGTCAATTCCAATCCTCAGGTTATTGCAATGTTTCCAGTGGGTGCCGAGACCTCGCCTTAGGCAAACCCTGGCCACAGTCACAGCCACAACCATAGCAGGTCTTCAAGTGACCCACGGAAACTAAGAGGTGTCTTAGTAGTGCTCGTTAGCTCAGTACTTCTTCAGCCACCCTTTCTTCTGAGTGCAATTCACATACATTTGAGATGATAGATTTAAGCTCTGTAACAAGTGATGCTCTTCGGCTCGATAGCTGGGAAGCTCGTCTTGCAGCTGGATGCCGAGTCGATCCAAAATGTGGAATCTTCGACCGCCACTTCGCTACCTCGGATAGGACCGTTCACTTCGACAATCGACCTGAAGCTCTGGCCCGTTGTGTAAATGCTGAGGACACCATTTTTGGTTCCACGGGATGGTGGAGCGTAATGAACAACCAGGTCCGTGGCACATCCAGCTTCATATCTTGGTCCAACATTCCTGAATGTCGTCTCGCCGTACGGGTCTGTGTTAGGTATATGTGCTCGGACACACGTGACTTGGGCCATTGCGTGTCCCAATGTTGACATGAGAAATAAAATGTTAGGCTGCATTTTTTAAGAGACGGTTGTCTGAGTTTGAAATGTCCAGGAACCAAAACCCTGCGGAGCTAGCCTACTGGCTTTTATAAAGCCTCTTTGCCTCGCCCACATCGCAACGTGTTATATTTCCTCACCGAGACTACAATTGACGGGATGAGAGCCCCTTGAAATTACATGTGTTACATTTCCGTGTCGAGACTCCGATAGCCGCGGGCCGGGATTGAAGATCCTTGAAATTACACATGGAGTCGCCGAAACTCATAGCCAATTAAACTTATTGGAAGTACGCCCTCATAGTTGCGGTACAGGGGTGATAGATCCCTAACAATGTATAATAGATCATAGAGGCTCTGCCCACCTCAATTTCTCTCCTAGCTGTTCAAGGAAGTCACCATTTACCTCGCTACACACACCTGTGTCCGACACAATTATCATTCAACTGCCATATCAAATGACGAGGAGTTCTCATGTTACGCTCAGAAGAAAATATCTTGACTCTATGTAATTCGTTTGGAAGAGAAATGATAGTTGAATTAACCTATAGCACGTAGCTAATATTATAAACTTGGTTTGAGTATAAGTATATACTAGCCGAGCTTTAATACGGTATAAACAAGGCAAAATAAAAACTAATATATATTATAGAGTTATTATGATGCTAGGCACAAAGTTAAGCCAAGAAGTACCTCCTCCTCTCCTCCCGGTCTTTCGTTCTCCCCTTATTATTTACCCTAGCACTAAGCGTTAATCTTACCAGGTCCCTCGTCACCAGTAGCCCCAGCCTTCTTACAGGCATCCGAAAAGTTACAGTCATAGAATAAACCGCCATAATCAGCAATACAGTCGTTACGCGACTAGTACGACGGTTTACTATTACCACAGACTATTCCAGTCACAACATCTTTAGGCTATTAGTCAACGTCGATACAGTGACAAAAGCTGTAATAATTGCAAGCCTGGACGCTCATAGGAGCGATCATAGCCGCAACGAAAGCAGTAGTGAGCTTCATAATACTATATTCGGCCAAGAGCATATTAATTTCTACCAGCCTTAAGTACAGTGTACTCACTCACCCAAGGTGTATGCAAAAGAGAGACAGAGAGAGTAAGCGAAGCTGTCAATGTTAGGGTTCTATATAAAGCTAGTAAATCGTACCTCAGGTCCATCGATGCTCGAGCGAACAGCGGCATCTTTATACCTATTCAGACGGTTAAATTGCCGCGATCAATTAAGAGGTGCAAACACTCTTGGTGCAGGGAATCTCTTTTTTTTAGTCAATGTGCCCGACGGTACTTCGAAGTTCCGCGCCCGACCGCCGTTTGCCTCACTATCCGGCTGAAGACCTTGGGAAGAAAGTCTCCGACGGTAATTCATGTGGTGATTTTTTTTCCGGCTTTACAGGCGCAAGAGACCACCCTCAACAGGATCAGGCTTTCAAGGGAAATCACATGATACGGAATACTTTTCCAACTACACGGCACGCGCAGTGTGCCCCAAGCGCCCTCTAACATCGTCGGGACTTCATAACTGCGTAGATAACTTAAATGGATCTAGTAAGGAATGATTAATGGCTTCCAGTTGCAGAACATATTTATAAATACCTCTTCCATACCCACTTACCGCAATAAAATCATCACATACCTTCTCGTCTATCTATCTCGCAATCCCTCCTACATCATTCTTTCAAAATCTTTTACAAAACTTATCACTAAGGCCTTCTTAATCATAGGTCTCACCTTTGGATATTTCCGCTCGAAGCTACCCCGCAGTCTAGGTCAAATGCTCGTACAGCAATAGCAGAACCTACGTCTAGAAGTACAGTAACGCTAGAGCGCAGGCTTTGTCTTCAGTTGTGGCCGCCTAGGCCATATAGTAACAGCATAGGAATATACTTAGCATCCGCCGTTGGCTGGTAATCCTGAGCATAGCCTACGTCTATAATTGGGACCTTTGTGGATTGCTGCTAGATCAAAAAAGCAAGAGTTGCTGCCATTACAAATGACTCTACGTCGTCAATGGGCGGATTCTTTTCCCTAGTTTGTTCACTCTGACCATCTCGCAGCACACCGTGTCAGTACATAGAGTATAAGCAGTTACACCAACCCTCGGATCCCATTGCTCACTCCATTAGCGACATTGGTGTCATATCCTCTTGGACAGGTCCAGGAATATCCGGCCGATTTCGGAAGATAGCGAAGCACACCTCGGCGATATCCTTGGCCATAGCCGGACTAGCCGCATCAATCTCTGCTCCGCTGTGTCCCATCCTCACAAGTTTGGCTTTTGCCGATACCATATTGGCTATGATGAAAGCCTTCCCTACAAAGTCTTGCGTCGCGAGCCTTCTCTCGGCAATGAGGGCGTAGCGGTCGACAATATCAATGATTCGGTCTCTGAGCTCGGCGATCAACGTCCAGGGCTTATGATCAGTGATGGACGCTTCCATCTGAAAGCAGAGAAACAACACGGCTTGTAGGGCCACTGTACGAAACAAGGACCCGGAGGTCCTCATCATGTTCACCAGTCCACCCACGTCACAGGCTTTGGCCAGTTTGTTGGGAGGATCAATAGTCTCGAGGATTGAGATGGCGGTACTGACGCACAAAGTGTAAGAGAAAGCCAACGAGGAGCTTCTTTGAACACCAAATGGCAAGTGAAGGGCAAGTAATGACCTCTGACAAAGAATGGTTGAGAAACATAAAGCAAAGTTTCCGCGGTCAGGAGAGCTATTCGCTAGCAGCGGACGTGCCACAGCTTCAAATGTCTCCTGCAACTTGGAGGCCTCTTCGTACTTCATAGAACACCTGATGTCGTTGAGGAAGTTGGCGATACGCATCCGCGTTCTCAGAGTCGATATCAAGTAGCCCACAGGCGACGAGGCACCGAGGAAAGATCCCTCGCCAATGCCATTAGGTTTTGGGGGTGCTGGTAGCGACATATCCCAGTCATCGGGTCCTATCGTTGTCAAAATTCCCTCATTCATCGAGCTTTGTAGATCCAGCTCCAGAATCGTGTACCAGAGGTTCTGTTGAATCTCTAGCTCATCCTTTGTAAGGCGGTCTCCTGTGATCGAGGGATCGCGATGCAGGCCTGCCACCATGGCGTTTCGCGCCAGCATACCGGATGAGGACCAGGTAGCGGTAGAATCCAGGCTGTAGACTTGCCTCATGATGTCGATCAAGCAACATGCTTGCAGCGTGCTGACATCGCAAGGATTCGAGCGAAGGGCTACACCCTGCCACGCTAGAATGAGATGCCACCACCCCTCGATCTTGGTGTCCGGCAGTCGGCCGCTGCTTGTGTCAAGAGTTCCATTCCCAATGGCGATAACCAGCAAGATTTGTATGCAGTCGGAAATGGGCACGCTCTCAGGCTTTTCCCAAAATCTCAATACCTGGTCTTGGAAGATTGGCTTTTGTAAGAGCGCAAAGACGGAGCCGAAGGTATCGAAATACTGCCGAATTAAGAAATCGGTCGTGAGCCTTGGTGGAAACTCTTCAAACATGGACAGTTGGGGGCCCTGGGCTTCTCCGAGAAAGAGGGTCCGCCGCTGGTACAATGAAGTCTTCAGCTCATTGAAGGTTGTGAACTGGCCGCCAGGTAAAGAGAATCCAGCCCGGCCCATGAGGGCCATGATATGTTGAAACTATAATAATTGTCAATGGGATAAAAGACATACGCTAGCGCTGAGTTTTGTCATACCTTTGGGAAAAGCCAGTGATTGCTACTACGCCCATACCAAGTTCTTCTCGAATTGAGTTTGCTCGGCTTTACGGTCGGGGTCCCGGCGTTCTCGGACATACCCAACGCGTCTGCATTCTCATCAAGCAAGGCCTCTTGGGGCCCAGGAGTCGGGGAATCCCCATCATCAGCTTCCACGCTTCTATCTCGAGACTCGGTAGCTGACGCACTTCGATTTACAGCAGACGATATGGTTTCAGGTCTTGCATCTGCGGGATCGCCGGAGTGGCCCGGCGTATGTCTGACATCGGGGCCTTGTTGCCTATCGTTTGATACTTGCTGCTGCTGCTCACGGGGCGGACGCTTCAGCGCAGTGCCGGAGACCGGTCTGACGTACGTGCATTTCAGCGGGGGGGTATTCTTTGAGCACCGGCCGCAGGGCCGCTGCTTATTGCATTTCAGTTTTCGGCGATGGCATTCGAGGCAGACGAGCATCGGCCGCTCCCTTCGGCGCCGGCGCGTGTGCACTGGTGATTCTTCCGTTGGTTGTACGTCGGACATAGTAGTCGAGTGTTTTCCCCGGGTTGGGTGGATACAGGAATGAGTGTCCACGGTCGGCAGATGGCGCCAGACGTAAATTCGAATGTTGGACAGTGAAAGAGGAAGAATGTTTGTTGTTTACGATCGCCGGAGATTTGAAGTTGACTGAGTTCAGTCTTTCTCTTCGATCACCGACGGTATTTGAGCTGGTACCCACCCGTAACGCCGAGCAGTTGACTTTGGGTTACCTTACTAACCGGACTTTAAGGTGGGGAAGGTCGGCAAACCGTGTTACACGCAGCTATCACCGAACGCTGCAGATATACCCCCAGTATTGTTAGATACGAATCGACTTGGAGGAAAGATCTAGGTGAGTCTATCTATTATAAGGTCGCTCATAAGTCTCTGGAATGATGGTGGAAGTTAGAGCTCGGCTGTTCGCGCTCTTGGGCTTATCTACCCTGCCATCTCTGTCGAACTATGGGGTTACAGGATGACCTCCCCAACGTCGTCAACTGGACTGATGAATACGATTTTCGCAATCCTCGGAACTTCTCCCCGGTTACGAAATGGGGAACAACAATTCACTACGGTCTTGTTACCTTCATTGTTACTTTTGCCAGTTCAGTTTTCAGCACTGCAACGGAGGTGACAAGCGAGTTATTTGGGGTCTCGAAGGATGTCATGCATTTAGCAACAGCCCTCAATGTTTTGGTAAGTAAAGCTACACTGCAAAAGACTTGAGAAGGCTAACAAGTTATAGGGGTTTGCATTCGGACCCCTTGTTTTTGGGCCGCTCTCCGAGTTGTACGGGCGCAAGACTCCCCTGCTACTGGGACTCCTCGTCTTCTGCATTTTCAACATACCAGTTGCAGTCGCAACAAACGTCGAGATGATATTGATATGCAGGTTCATCGTCGGCTTCGGAGGCGCGGCTCCTTTAGCCATCGTCGGCGGCGCACTCGTTGACCTCTTCCTTCCCATTGAAAGAGGCATCGCGGTCTGCATCTTCGCCGGCGCAACATTCATGGGCTCCATTTTCGGGCCGATAGTCGGCGGCTTTGTCACTGAATCCTACTTGGGATGGCGATGGACGGCTTGGTTGACACTCGTCCCTGGTGTTGTACTGTGGGCGATTCTCCTGCTGTTCGTCCCGGAGACATACGGCCCAGTCATTCTCAAAAGAAGAGCTCAGGAGCTCCGTTTCGAAACTGGCAATTGGGCACTCCATGCTGCCATCGAGGAGCACCGGTTGGAATTGAGCGACATCGCGCAGAGGTACCTCGTTAGACCTATCGCCATGCTCTGCCGCGAGCCCATCTTAGCCCTCGTGACGGTCTACATGTCGCTCATTTACGGTATTCTATACCTCTTCTTCGAGGCTTACCCGATCTCTTTTTCTGCCAAACGCGGTTGGAGTCTAGGCGTAGGAACACTTCCGTTCCTAAGCCTTGGGTTCGGCATTATTCTTGGAGGAGTGGTCGTACTATTGCACCTCAGGCTCCGGTACGCAAAGATATACACAGCGAATGGGAAGGTACCTCCAGAAGAACGCCTCGTTCCAATGATTTTCGGTGCTGTTTCACTACCAGTAGGCATGTTTTGGTTCGCCTGGACAAGCGATCCAGACATTCATTGGGCTGCCCAAGTCCTTGCAGGCATTCCCACCGGGATAGGAATCATGACCATCTTCATACAAGGCTTGGTGTACATAATCGACACATATGCTCAACTCTCAAACAGCGCCATTGCGGCCAACGTGTTTCTGAGAAGCTGGGTTGGTGCCGCTTTTACCATGTTTGCGACCAGCATGTATAACAAATTGGGTAAGCTTAATCGTCTTTCTAGTTAACCAAGCTGAGCCATTCGCTTACTGAGATTATAGGCGTTGCGTGGGCATCATCGCTACTTGGTTTCATCTGCGTTTCTTTGATGCCAGTGCCAGTGTTGTTTTTCAAGTATGGTAAAGTCATTAGAAAGAAAAGTCGGTATGCTCCATTTACGGAATAAGGCATTGGAAAGTCATTTATAGAGCAGTGATGTTAAGATAAAGGCAATCTCTATTAATGCATATAAGTGATGAGCCTCTGTGCGACCAACGCCATGTCCTGCGGAGCCTATGTGTCCCTGGGCTTAATCCAAGCCCTGATGATGAAGATGCTGGTAGATTCAAGGAGACATGTAGAGAATGAGCTCACAAGTCGACTTATGGTCAGTTCATAGGCGGCCGTTACCCCCTTACTTACAGTTCTTTTCCGTTCCCGCGCGGAGGGGCTCTGCGGCGGGATTCCTTGCTCAGGGTGTTAACAGCAGCACGTAATACGACGATTGCACTTAACCTTAGACACACTTGGGCCCTTGTGCCAACTGATTTGAATTAACAATGCTCTTCAATTCTATCTAGTCGGATCACAGTTTCTACCATAGAGAGACACCTTCTTCCATGCCACTTGGTGATTCATTTACCTTACGCGTGAAATTACCTTAGCAAGATGTCTACATGTACAGAACTTTGGCCACATGCGTTAACTTGGACACAGAATCGGCTTCCTTGTATTGTTCAGATCTATGCCGTGTCGGCTTGAACTATAATTAGAGTCGCGGATCAAAGTGCTACATTGTTATGATCAGTGCCAAGTGACCTCTTGCCTAGCCCTTGACTCGAGTAATGCCACACTCAGTCGGAAGATCAATTTCGGTATATTTGGCATTTTGGCACTGAAAGCTTTTCACATGATACTGCGCATCGAGGAAACTTCCATGCTCATGCTGACAGTCCTTGGAGGAGAGACCGCGGTGAGATATGAAACTCGGGCACACCGCAAAGTGCGAGTATTCACAAATTACAGGTATATTGACCGCTCAGACCACGTCTCCGGCAGCAACACTTGCGGGTTTTCTTCTTCATTGCGGTCATTCACAGTCTCGCAGGCATCTTTGAGCCCGAGCCCGGTGGAACAGGGATTGGATCCACCGACTGTCGGACGGGCCCGGCTCTTGGATACGCGGCGTATTCTTCAATCTCGGATATGAGGCCGCGAGGCGTGGAATCCGTGGGGTTTCCGGCCCACTTGCCCATGACATTGACCACAACACCATTGCAACTAGGTCTTCATCGATCCAGGGTTATGAGCTTAGGCGTTGAAGAAGCAATCTTTTCAAGCCAAGTTGCAATCTCAGGACCAGTATATACACTATGAGAGCTCACACGGGGTAATTCACGATCTGGACAAGCCCAATCATTTCCTTACTCCTGGCATTGATCGAGCGCAGTGCTATCGGTCACTACGGAGCAGCCCGGTCCAAACTTGTCCAAGAATTCCCCGTATATTAGAGTTGTCTTGTGGGACCCTCTCGCTGGCCTTCAAATACGGTGTAGGAGTTGCAGCCCGAAGATTCTAATATATTTTGAGTTCCCGCCTGACTCGAGCCCCATTATAGGGAGGATACGATCGGACTTTCATGTGTTCTCCGCAAAACGCAAAAGAATCCGAAAAGAGCTGGATATAGAAGTCCAACCCGACATCCAAACCGACATCTAATTCAGTACATAAAGACTGAATACTTCTCGTAACGAGGCCAATTTCTTTCGGTTCACTCACAACGAACGTCAGCTCTTTCAACTCAACCACAAACCCAAAACCACTTCCCAAGACTTACTCGGTCCAATCTACACAACTTTCAGGATGCAGTTCTCCAGCCTCTTCGTTGGCGCAGTCGCTCTGGTCCTTCCGGCCGCTGTTAGCGTAAGTCGAACTCCTTGAGCTCAATTCCAACTCACACCCTAATTCATCTACTAATGCTTTACCTTAGGCTGGCTACTGTCAAGGTACCACCTGCATTGACAGCATTCAGAACTTCGAGTGCCCCAAGCAGTGCCCTAAGGATGGCACCTGCGCGCTCAACGTTGCTTGCTTCTAAGGAATGAGCCAATCGTGGAAAGACAGC